TCAGGATCTTCCTCATCATCATCATGATGATGGTCGTCATCATCATCATCATCACTCTTCTCATCACCATCCTGATGGTCATCATCATCTCTTTCTTGTTCTTATATGCATTTCAAAAGTAACGTTAGACAGCATTGGCAATGCAAAGGATGCTACGATGAGAGTTTTCATCACAGGCCTCATCCTTATCATCATTGTCATCACGGTCATCATCATCTCTCATTAGGGAGCACTGGTGATGCAAGGGATGCTACGATGATAGTTATCATCACAGTCATCATCAGGATCTTCCTCATCATCATCATGATGATGGTCGTCATCATCATCATCATCACTCTTCTCATCACCATCCTGATGGTCATCATCATCTCTTTCTTGTTCTTATATGCATTTCAAAAGTAACGTTAGACAGCATTGGCAATGCAGAGGATTCTACGATGATAATTATCATCGACGTCGTCCATCATCATCCAGGGGGGTGGGGTCTGATCATGACTCAAGTACGCAGGGTTGAAGTTTACAGTGAAACCAAAAAACAAGACCAAAATTTGACCGGGGCGAAAATTTAACATTTCACCCAAAAGAAACCAAAGAAACCAAAACCAAGGGCACTGTTTTGTTTTGCTCGAAAACCACAACTAAATCCGGGGGTCGGCGGCACTGGGCGGCAGCCCTTAAATAATATACACACAGTCGCATTCAAAACGAGAAACAAGAATCAGCAGTAACTGGAGCGCCAGCAGTCTTGGTCTTATGGACATCTTGCCTTTCAGTGCGGCCAAGCATCTTCTGCAGCAATGTTTTGTTGCCATACGAAAGGATACCTCTTCAGGGCAGCTTGAGACATTTCACAATCTGCAAACTCGGGCGACGCGCCATGGTGAAACTTGCGTTGCGCTGGACTGTTGGGAGTGCTCACACAGCCCGCCTTTCACCACGTGGCTTGTCAACCTGCATGCTGCAGCAAAGAAACACACATTCAAACCATCCGCAACACGATCAGGGGTGCTGTTCAGCACACGCATGATGGCTCGAGCATCGGATGAACATCGTAATGGCCAAGTGGCTGCTTCTTCGCCTAGCAACATGGGATTGCGATGGTATACCTACAACATGCCGAACTCCTTGCTTCGCGGTGCAAAAGCCGACACGCGCGTATTTCATTTGGACATGTGCTGCTGATGATTTGATGCTTCCCTCTCTGATCAGTGGCAACAACGAAAATGATCACAATTCAATATCTCACCCAGCCTGAGCACCCTTCAACCAGGGCAAACTCACAGCATCTTCTGCGGAACATCTTGACTCCCAATCGGAGTTCAAGAGGCTTGTGACCTGTTGAGTTTTGCACATTTTCTTGGAAAACGCAACGCCGACAATGCCGCCGAGCCAGGCTGATGTGGTGGGTGAAACTACTATACTCAAACAAAATATTCAGCGGAATTTATGATGCTCTTGCCACTGACATTGTCTGAGGTTTCCGCGAAATCAATAGCTGGCTCCTGGGGGATTGTTAGGAGTCAGGCTGAAACAAATTCGACATCAGGTATCCTATCTGCGGCCGAGTTGCTGAGGCATCTCCAAAGTTCAACGCATTTGACCCTCTGGAATCGGCGTCACTCCTTCCCAAATATGCCAGGGCCGAGGCAATGTTCGTCAGAAACCCATGTATTTCCATCAGATAGCTAGCAGCCACCAAGGTACAACCGCCGTGTGACGTTGCGGCCGGTGAACACGTTGGTCAACCAAGACGCGTGCGCGAGATAGCGGCGCGATACAAAAGCACAAGCTGAACTTTAGCTCATCGAGCACTGCGTGTGGTGCGTTTTTTGGTTGCACACGGTGGACCTTTCAAAACACATGGCACACGTGCTTGGGGATGCTGGTCATGCCTGTGGTGTTCGGCCATTCCCAGATTTCGCCTGGGACACATCCAGGAATGGCTCGACATCTCTAGCAACTCCACCGTGCTGGGACTGACTCCAGACTCCGGGCGGGTGGCGGTAAATTGGAGGTTTGTCGGGCCAAGCCTTGGAGTCGTGGAAGTTTGCATGGTGGTGATGCTGAGCTCCCCGCTGAGTTTGTCACAATCCGGGCAATGTGACAGATTTGGGCAAAATCCGGGAAAAGGCAAAAATCACCACCATTGCTACCATGTTGGCGCTGTCCCAAATTGCGCTAGCGCGGCTGGTGGGGCCGAGCCCTTCAAGGATTCTCTGGCAGCTGGCAGCAGTACATAAATCTTTCCAGCCAGCCTGGTCTTGCTGTAGCCAATAATCTGCTGCTGCACTTCTTCTACTGTAGATCCTGGAAAAGGTAAGTGGCCGCCTAAGCAACAAAACCATCCAATTGGCAATACTTCCCACTCAAGCCTTTCATCGCTCTCCTGGTTTGCGGTCTACTATGACTGCTCATTCTGCCGAGATTCACAACAGGAAGAAAACCCCGATGCCCGCTGCCCAAATGTCCACGTTGGTGCCTCTGCTGCAGGAAATTGAGCTCTCTCTGATATGACTCTCCTCATTACCCTCCTCATTCCAGTGTAACAACATTGCAGCACATTGCAGCCAAACAGCAATACATTGGCACAGCTGTCAACAGCTCAGGGGCCATGAAATTTGCATTGCCTGCAGTGTGTCTAACATACATACAACCATTGTCGTGAAAACTTCGCGTAAAATCCGCCAGGAGTTCCAAACTCAGCAATAGGTTCGCTTAGTCCTTGGCACGTTCAGCAGCCAAGAGCCACATTGCAACCGACGGAATAAGCGCCAAAGAGACTGATCAATAAACATCTGCGTGCGCTGATGTTTGCCATGCATATTCTGGGAGCCGTACTGGCCCCCGTCGTTGGGAGCACTGTCGCTAGCTCAAAATCGCACACTTTCAAAAGACTCGTGTCCAGCGATGCCTGCGCCCGTGCAGGCGGGACTGGCATGCTGTTGGAAGCCCAAAAATTCGACACTGAGGGCTACGCCCTATCATAAAGGCACATGTGATTGAGGTCCAAATTTCGGTGGCAGATTTGATTTGCATGCATATGACCTGAGCTTCCGCAGCCGCATGCAGGAGCACTTTACACACACACACACAAACAGCTTGTGCTCAATGACACAATCCCCCAAGGCGTACAGAATACTTGCGGCCAGCATGTTGAAATGGGCCTCCGGCCCACGGCTGCCAGAATCTGCTGCGTGAGGCAGGCCTTCGTGCACTTGCAAACCAAACCAAGAAACATCATGCAATATGGCTGAAACATACTGAAGACTGGAACAACAACTTTGCTGGGCAAGCAGCGACAGTGGATTCGGTGAGAAACTCGTCCGTCTGAATACGCGACAACAGTTTGCCACCCTGAAGCAGCCAGGTTTGTCTCCATGTCAATGTCTTCCAGTTGGCGCCTCGCACCATTGAAGGACCATGTAGGTATTCACCTCATCTTGAAATACCTCAGAGGGGTAGTCGCAGATAAGTTGCGACGTGCCAGCAACGTGACATTGTTGCTGCCTCGAAGACCTTTACGATATTTGGATGGTCGAGGTGTAAAAGGACGTCAATCTCCTAGCGAGATGATGGCTGAACAAAATGAGACCTATGTGCAGTGCTAAAGGTATGATAGCTTTCTTTAGTTGCACCTTGGAAGCGCTGTACGCATCTACCCGCCGTCTCCGAACAGTCCTGCAGGGTCTCAAGAAGAGGCAACATCGCATCAACAGATTATAGTTAGCCAACCTGCTTGGCAGCTTGTGATAGCATGCATGAATACATCCTGCAAGCACGAACCTCTGCTGTTTGCTTCAGCACAATCCTGGCACACCATCGTTCCCAAGCCAAGAAACAAAACAAATTGGCACCTGGAGATGGCTCTGGGCTTTCGGCCAGCTGTTTGACTGCCTGATCGACATAGCAAACAACATGCCAATGATTGTTCACGGACTTCTGGCTACAGTTTACTGTCATGCGGCCATAGCGCTTGCAAATGCAAGGCCACGCTGCTCCACCTCATAATGATCAACCAATCGCCTTAGATCTTCTCGGAAATATGTGACGATCAACTTACTTCGGCGCAAACCGGCAACATGTACTCTCCATGTTTTGCAGGCTTGAGAATAGCCTCCCTTTGTGCAGCCAGTGCAATGCCTGTTAAAGGAATCTGCAAAGCCAAATCGAGGCTGTTGCTGATTCGTGCGAATGATGGTCGATATTGACGTCTTCCTGGGATGAGCCGCTCATGTGTCCGAATGCAAACAAATCATATCTCTGCATACCCTTCTTGATTCAGGATCTTTTAGTCAACTTTCATGACATTGTCAAGGCTCCTTGTTCTCTGTGCTTCTTGGCTGTTTTCCTGCTTCTCCTCCTCCTCGAGCAATTCTCAAAATGCAATATGTTCGTCAGTCACAGGCTAACTCTGCATGCTGTAAACGTGTGCGTGTCCTGAGCTGCCTCTTCTTTCCTCTTTTTCCTTTTTCTCTCTTCTTCCTGGCAAAAAAACTCAAGGCTGCATCAGGCAAGTGTTTCAATCAACGCGTGTTCCATTTCATTTGGCCTTGCCCGCCCAGTGAATGGACTGTAGTCGTAGATAATTCAAACAAACATTATATGATTCCATGCTTTGCTAGTGCGTTTTGAAGCCGGAAAAGCACGAGAATCCACACACAAACACAAGTAGGCCTGAATAAGCTCGTACTTCTGCTTGGCACTGGCACCGCAGCCCATCAGCTACCCTCAAGTTGATGGTTTTGCTTGGATGTTTGTGCGATGGATCCTCGATCGCGCATTTAGCCATTTGCATACTTTCAATATGTTTGCATTTGTTGCCATATGTGGCTGATCACAACTAGGCATGACTCCGAACGGCAAACCATTGGGAAGCAGTATGAATTATGAACATCTGCAGCTTTCCCAGCGCTGTGCCGTTTGAACCTTGAAGGATACCAAATGGCCGCGTGCAAGCGGAAACTTGCACAACAATTCGCTGTCGAGAGAATGGGTCCTGCCTGGACTTCTTGGGCTGCTGCTACTCGCGAAAACAGCACAACTCTGGCCAAACCTTGCCCAATCGCGCAATGTCAATGTTGCCCACGCTACCCTTTCGCCTTAATTCAACGACAGCTGAGGGCCAAGCCTTGCTTGCCGTCTTGTAGCCTAGCAGGAAGCCGCAACAGGACACTCATATGCACAACTTTTGAACAATGGAAAATACAACTGTGTCATGATACAGTGTATCATGATACATGTTGTGAGATTTGCTAGGAACCCTTCACATGCATTCTTCGTCAGTCCTTTCTATCATGTTCAGGCGCGCACGAGAGCCATACGTCTTTGGCGACGCAACCCAATCCTGCAACGGGAATCATGATGAATTGCATTGACTTTATCCTGAATCTGATTCCAACGCATTTTGGTTTTGCCGTGCATGCAACTCCTTGCTGCAAAGCTGTGAAAGGCAAAGCCTTTGCCAATTTGTGTATGGCGACGATAGATGAATGCTGCAAATATGGGCACAACAACACAAACGTATCACCGAGCATATCCCAACTTCTTAGCCAAGCACCGTGGGTGTCTTCTCACCAGACTTTGAAATGGCTGCCAGACCTGCAGCGCTAATTAAATCCATGCACCCTGCAAAACCAACAGCTCCCAACAGAATTTGCATGTTCGCCGATGTGCATAATATACATTGCACAGGGCGTGCATCTTGCGTGGATGTGATACCCACACGCACACACACACATTCAATAGAACTAACAAAACAAACACTGTATTTTGCTTTCGGCTGCATGACTCAGCGCTTCGCATTGAATTGGCCCTCCGCATATTGGCACCATGTCATTGCCCGTCGCACTGAATAGCTCGACATAGCCTGAATGAAGGTGCTCTGTTTTGTGTCGATTCTTTTGCTGCTGAGTTGGTTGGACTACCGTCCGCCTTGCCATCTCAAAGCAACACAAACATGAAAGGCATCTCTGATGTTAATCTGCCATGTCGATGCTCCCGATCAGCTCTGGGCTCAACGGAGCACGTGAAAGTATCATCTTCAACTCGTCAAATTGTTCCCTCAGGAAGCTCATGTGGAACACACACATAATCCGTAGAGAATCCGACTTGTCAGGCCGCGACTCCCCGACAATCGCCGGCACTACAAGCGCGACCTGGCATCACAAATCATGAATGCTTTTTGTTATCATCCAAACAACATTTTGCGCATTGCAGCCTCTTGGTGTTGAACGAGTTCTGGTGATACTTGTGCTACCACTGCCATGGCGTGCAATCGCGAGTGGCCTTGCCCCACAATACAACCAACGTTTCAGTTGCTAACTCCACATTGAATACTCATCAACGCTGTAAGCCAGCGGCACGTTGTTGCAGCTGCAGGTGCCCCAAAACCCACCTGAGATGGAGCAGTCCATCACCAGCATAGAAATACCCAGCGCACAAACAATTGCAATCAAGCTGCTCCAGGTGACTCTGGCACTTGCAGCAAATGTTGCAAAGAAGGAATCATCGGTTTGGGCAATGGCCGCATCCCTTCTGGAACTTGCAAAAAAGGCCACTTGCTGTGGAATGGGCCATAGGAGCTGCTGCGAAGATGCCGGCGACGAACTGTAGGGCCAAAACATATTTGCAGTAGCAGCGCCAAAGCGCCTGAACGGCGAACCACAAATAGCCAATGCCGCTGGTTCTGCAGATGTTCCCACCAGCTCCGGTTTTGATGGCGTTGACCGTCCTTCATGAACCATGGTTGCAGCCCCAGCAACCGCAAATCCGCAGCAGTCAGCTCACAGGGCCGGTCCACGAGAATATGGCATTCATTCTGCCAAAGAAGCTCCCTAGCCACTTCCGCCACGCCCAACGCGGAAGCGTCGCTGAAAATGATCCTGACAATCAGAACCGAAACATTGGCCGGAATTCGGTGTTCCATTTGTCTGAACCATTCTGAACCGAGATTCAACGCCGACAAATCGACCTCGTCATTGCAAAACATCGCCTGTTTTGCCTTGGAGTTGTTCACCTTATGCAAGTCTGAAACAAGGCAAAATTGTAAAATCATGCGTACTTCGAATTAAATATGACGTTTGCCGTGAAACAACAAGCCAAATTGCATCAGTTCCTTTGCTTTGGCATTTTGCAGGCACCTCAAATGTCGAGTCCCTGACCGAAACACAAGATCTGCAATCTAGGATGCGTGCGTCAGCGGATGTGCTCCCAGCATCTTTGGTGTCCTGATTTGTGTTGCAGGTAAACCCACCTACGGTCACAACATGATTGTTACCATTTCGTGCGTACGTGCCACCAGATCCTTCACGTCCTCGGTGCCCGGAATGGGACCAGACGGTTTGGCAGTTGTCTTACTTGCTGGTGGCGGCGGAGGCGGCGGAGGTGGTGGTGTCTGTGGTGGAGGCGGTGGCGGCGGTGGCAATGGGGGTTGCCAATCTGAAACACGGTCAGTGGGCAGCAATGGCGCTGCATCGATCACCGCGCGGACATCACCGGTTTTTGGTGGTGGCAATGGTTTGATTGCCACCAACGGCGCTGGTGTGCCTGGCAAAATCGAGATCTGTTTTTTCCAAAATGCCACCAGATAATGTATGTTCATTCACAATCTCCATACAATTGGACGAGAACGACCGGTGCACTTGACATTGACACAATACCCGCCTTTGGCCTTGACTGGGTTTGCTGAAAGAATTGCCTGCCAAAATGATCCACTATCAAATTGTTTGCCGATTTGTCCATATTATGCAGAAGCATGGTTGCAGTATCTCATCGCCTTGGGCTTGGCAACTGGAGCTGGGCCCAATACCTGTCAGTGTTTGGTGAACACGATAAATACAACATGCGATGCAGCTCCCAATAAGGCCTTGACTGTCAATAAAGTTGCTGGCAATGCTTTGGCTTCAAGCGCCGCCGCGACCGAACAAAACCTGGGCCACGGCAAAAGGTCGCTAGTTGAGGTGATTGCACATTTCACATATGTGCGCAAACCATCGATTTGTTCCGGTCTGGCGGCAGTGTCAGCAGCACACAACTCTATGTACATCTATAGTACTCACTCCGCAACGAAAAATCAACATGTCACACGCAACCTGAATTCGTTGCATGGACGCTTAATCAACATAGTCCATTTGCTTGTTGCGCAAACGCTGAATTGTGTGTTGAAGCAAGGCGATCTCCTCCTCCTGGATGCCACGAACACGTGGGCGACTTTGTGCACTGCACCCGTTTTGTGCATGCCGTACACAGGGCAGTTTTATTGTCGTTAGCTGCTTGAAAACAATAAGCCACAATTAAGATTTGATTTTTTGGTCTGACCTGCCCCCCCCCCCACCTTCATGAAACACAATTTTCAAGGAACCATTCCCTGACTTTACACCGCACTTTGTCGGAAACAAGTGCTTCAACGCACGGGAGGTGACTACACATGCAAAATGAACCAATCAACTGGACAACCATGATTATTAGATAACTAGTTGGCAATGGCTGATAATTTTTCAGCAATCAATGAGAATCGGGAGGATGCAACTATCGGTCCTGTTCCATCAGCCGTTTTTGCATATGTTCCTCATAGCTTGCATCCGCTTCGGGCAAAGCTCCTGCGACACACATTTACCGACCAATCTATATACAATTTGTCCGCAATAATGAAATTTCAAAATGAAAGGTTTGATGGTCCTGGCTCAACCAACTCGAGTATGCGGGTGGCAGAATTGGAATCGGTGCTGCCCGTGCTGTCGCAAGTTTCCAAGACCTTCCGGCGGACCTGGTAGTGGACCTGATGGAAGGAAGCCAGGTCCTGGCAAATGGAACTTGACTCTGGATGTGCATGACTAACTCGCATGCCGTGGCAAATTGCTGGAATCATCGCTGTCCCGCACGTTGTGGCATGTGCTCACAATTCCACTGATTCCTGGCTCAACCAGCTCTGTGGTCAACCTGCAGGTGGAAGTAACATGCCATGAGCCAACATCATGACTTAGGCACTTGCGCAAGCGGAAAGGAAGAGAGAAGGAAGCGAGAGAGAGAGAGAGAGGAAAAAAAGACAAACAAACAAAAAACAACAGAGAGAGGGAGCCAGACGAGAAGAGAAGAACAAGGGCAATGGCAGTGGCGAGGACAGGAACAATCAGCAGAAACCAATGACGAGACGGGTGCCGGACGTCGGACCTCATGCTGGGTGGAGGGGGAGGGCCAAACAAGGAGCTGCTGATGCGATTCAGCATTCTGATGGTCCACTTTCGGTGTCGGCCCCGGCCCCGTAAGAAGCTAACGCTTGTTCACCATTTGCTGGCACCGCTAATTAGTTTGTGTAACAAAACATGTGTGCACTTCTCATTTGTCCACACCAAAAGTGACACAGCTGCAGAATGCAGCCGCGCAGCAGGCCATAAAGATGAAGCTGATTTTCACGCGACAAGTGTGCCATGGACCTGACAACGTTCATCTGACCGGTGCTCCTTTACAGGAAGCCAATCAATGCATTTGCCAGTCACAGCTTTGCCAAATGAGTGGTTCACTCGTCCAGAAGGATGAATGCAGGCTTCACCAGCAGGCAGTGAGCCTTGATGCCCCTAATTTCTGTCGGAATGTGTGTTAAGTCTGAAACTGAGCGAAGTGCGACCATCAATTTTTGAAATTGGCCGCCAGAAAGAGCTGCGTTGACCTGAATCATGAAGACGCTATGGACTTCGTGATTTGAAACATTGCCTATCTGGACTAAAGCACGCGGGCATGCGGCATCCACCACATCGTCAAGTCCCAGTACTGTCAGCTCAGACAACCTGAGTGTGAGATCAGGTGGTCCCAATTCACAATTCAATCGCAACAAAGCTGCAAGCCAAAGCAGCCGAACCCTCTCCAGTGCACTTGCAATTTCCTGCTCAGAGAAGTCTTCCGGGCTTTTCGGGAAAGCCAGCGCTTGACGGATGGACATTGGCACTGGCAACCTCAGCTGGTAGGCCTAAATCGCCAAAATGTCGGTGAGCCACCCACCCGCCCATGCACATGGAGAACCCATGCAGAAACGCTGCTCGGAGACCTATGTCACCAACCCCCACAATTGCCCCCCCCCCCCCCCAGCGCTGCACATTATTGGGGGGGGTCTATGATAGATATTTGATGTACATTTCCGTAGCGGTCATATGTTGGAAAACCTGAAATCTGTACATGTCCATCTCCCCCCCCCCCCACTTGGAAAATGTACACTCTTGCCTTGCACACCTCAGAAATGTACAGCCAAAAGGTGCGTACATTTACGTACCCCCCCCCTCCCGCACCCCGTACATGAGGGAAGGGGGGAGTGATTCTATGTTTCATGTGTCAACAACTACTTCTGCCTGGGCCAAGCGTTTTCTTTGTAAATTATTCGTAAGACAGTTCGGTGGTGCGTGTTCCGGTGGTTTTCTAAATGTGGTCAACAGTTGGGTGCGGGTTTGTGGAATTTCCCCGAACTGCCTTTGTTGATTGCAGCGCTTCCACACCCAGCTTCTGCAATATGCAGAGCAGGCTTTGGCAGCTCAAGCTTGCGCCTTCTCAGTAAAAGAGCAGGATGCCTTTGACAGCTCCAGCTCGAATATTGCAGCTGCTCAGGACAAGAAAAGTGTAGTATGCGAAGACAACTTTTGCGCAAACTCGAAAAAGCGAAGAACACTTTGCAGCATTTCAATTGTTCAGAACACGGTAGCACGTTGAGCGCTCGATTTTCTGATGGGCAAGTAGGCTCCGACTGCAGGTGCCAGAATGGAAAGTTGCACTGCAAACCCGACAAGGACAGCCTTTGAGCGGAACGCTCGCTCAACAGAGAAACAGTTTCTTAAAGAGAACGCCCGCCCTAGCGGCCCACCGAAATATTAATTAAGCACGCGGCGGTCTTGTGATCTCGTGTCAGCTGTGCTTGACGTTTGGCTGGCGGCTATTTTGCTGCGGTGGGTGTTGTTCACACTTGTGTGGTGGATATTGCGATAAGTTTTTCTGCCGGGTGAGGCTGGAAAATGTTCCCGTAGCACATGATAGCTTTCCAAATGGTTTCCGAAGCAGGGATATTCCAAACGTAACTTCTCAAGCCGAAACAGGCTCTGAAACAGCATCTGTTACACATTGCATCGCACGTCCAAAACTGAAGCGCACCTCGGCTTCTGCGGTATCAGAATGCAGTCCAGAGCTGGGGCCAGAGATTCGGCTTCTGGAATTCGCAAGAAAGGCCATATTCCTACAATCCAACTGAACCATCGGCATCAGCTGTTCTTCTCATTTAAAATCCGTGCAACTTGCAGCATGCCGGGCGCCTGCCAATGCTTTCAGCAGCGTAGACTTTCCGGAACCCTCATTGCCGCAAAGAAGGGTGCTGGTACCTTTCGTGACCTTGCGTCGGTCGCAGTTGGGAAGCCGCCGAGCATTGACATGGCTGCAAAACTATGCATGTCAGCATTGATGTTTGAATCAGCTGGCTGCAAAACCCAAGGCGCATTGCCGACTTGTATTCGTGCATCAGGCCCGGAAAGCTACGGCTGTCAACACTTTGTGGATATCATCTCAAGAGCATGGCGAACTTCAGCGCATCAGCTCAAATGCAACTTGAAGGGATGCCAACGGAACTCTTTTTTCTTTTATTGGGGGGAGGGGGCGATGCGTAGCTCCCTAGTTGGCTTTCCTTTGCACCATTTTGCAGCTGGACTCAATTAAATGCCGTGCCATGTGGGAAACCCTGAAACAGACCGTAATGGGATGATTCCTGATCAAAGGAAGTGGAGCTTGCGTGATACGGCAACTAATTGGAACAAGTTCGGAGCGGGCTGGGATCAGTTTGCGTGGCAGGCGCAACACTTTCGCAAGACGAGGCGCAGATTTCGTGGCAGGCGCAGCACTTTCGCACTGCAAGGCACAGGTTTCGCAAAAGGCGCAGCACTTTCGCAAGGTCAGGTAGAGATTACGTAGCACATCGTAGCACACACTTTTGCAAGATGATGGTTTTTCGCAAGGTCAGGTACCGATTGCGTGGCAGGCGCAGCGCTTTCGCAAGGTTGGGTACCGATTGCGTGGAAGGCTCAACACTCTTGCAAGGTGAAGCGCAAGTTTCAGGGTTCGTGGCAAGTGCGGCACTTTTGCGGGGTGAGATGCAGAATTTTCGTGGCACGCTCAGCACTTTCGCAACGTCTAAACAAATAACTAGCTAGACTAACAAATAGATAAGATAGGTCAGATAGGTAAGATAGACTAGACACGTAAGATAGAGAAGGTAGGTTAAGCCATGCATGGATGGACATCAGATGGGTGAAGAGAGAGTAGAAGAGAGCGAGAGAGAGATAAGCTAGATGAATGATTAGATAGGCATGTAGATAGATGGAACACACAGATAGTTAGACTGCTAGAAAGCTTGAAACGCGGCAATAAATAGGTAGACGGAGGACAGAAGAAAGACTAAGGAAGTATAGAAAGATAGAAAGAAAGAAAGAAAGAAAGAAAGATAGATAGATAGGTAGGTAGATAGACAAATGAGATTGGTAGATAGACAAAAACAGAGAAAGTGACATTCAGCTGAAAACACGATTGACATAAAGCCAGTGGTGGAAACAACAATCAGACATACAAATAAATAACTAGATAGCTAGACCTGGATACATACAAAACCACGGAAGCAAACTGAATGCCGTGCACGTAGATAGATAGATAGATGGCTTGGTTGATTGATTGATAGAGAGATTGCTAGGTGGGTAGATATGTAGCTAGAGAGACAGCTAGGCAGCTAGGGAGGCAAAAAAAAACATCTCGGACGATAAAGAACGAGAACACGACAGGGAGAAAGAAAGGAAGAACGATGACAAACAGCAACCGGATAACGACAAGTATAATTCGCATATGATGCACATGTTTGAAACTTCGCCGGCTGTACTGGCGCGTTGCTCTGGGATGGGCGTTGTCGATTTGCTGATTTCGCTGGCGCTGTCATTTTACAATTCGTGCCACGCGCCAAAGCATTCTGTAAACAGACGCAGCATTGCAACAGCTGACCAGCCTATTATAATGCCTTCTAGAAAAATGCCTACTCCTCACGACGCATATGCAATGACACATGCCAAGCGGCACGAAAATCGATGTCCATCAACGTTTCCCCAGACGGCAACAAAATGGTTGCGTCTTTCAGCTCCAGCACCTGGTGCGATTTGATTCCGTGAAGGCAGCATGCAAAGCGAACCGGAAGGAATACAGCACCTGAGAAGGATCTCCCAGGTTTTCGGGCTCGGCCGCTGGGGTTCCATCGGAACTATCTTCAGCCTAGTCAACTGTCACGAGAATTACGCGCGCTGGCTGAGAAACATCGCGTATCAACTTTGCAGGCGTGCTTCATCTCCCTCGGCCGGCGAGTCCGAAGTTCCTGGTGGTTTTCCAGCTTTCTTATCCTGTCACGTTCCCACTTTGCAATGCACAGCCATGCCCACAAAAATTGCAAAGCCCTGCTGTCCTTCATGAGGGCCACCCCACAGCATCGAAAGTCATATAGCCGATCGACTTGAGCTCTATACGATGCCAAATGCTTATATTCATGGATGAAAAAACTCAGGGATGCTGTTATGCGAGAAAGAGCCATCTCACATTGCTTCACAGTGCCCAACGACACCTCGCAGGGCCATGCAGCTACTCTCATCAGTCAAAGCACCACAAGACCAAGCAAACCGAATCCTGGCCTCACCCTTGATGAAAAACGGCATCAGGACGCACACAAACAGGACCGACTTGAAGGGATCGTAGATGCGATCGAACCAGCCCAGCTTCTTCCTGCGCCAGCTCGAACTCATCAGTGTCGAAAGAAAAACAAATGGCATTACACACAATTCAGAGCAGGCGTCTTGAGGACCATCCCTTGCCATTTGTTCCACCTCACGCCGGCGACTGACAGTCAACCTGTCCTATGCCTTAGGACTGAAAACATATTCTATGCAAATCACAGGCTACCTTTCAAACACCCACCATGGAAAAATGCATCAGATGCGACGAACAACCCTGGAAGCAGCGCAAATGGTTGTGAAACTCAAGCAGCGACACTGAACACGCATCCTAGCAAAACGGTTCAATTGCCTTTCCCACGCCCCAAAGCACATAACACGTTAGCTTCGACGATAATAAAGCGGCAACATTTAACGCTCGCATTTGGCGGTTGTCTGAAACTCCTTTGTTCCCGGGCAGAAAGACTTTCGCGACGCGACCTTCATTGCGGGACTTTTGCGCAGCTATTTTCGCAACATATTTTCGCAACATTCAACAAGTGCCCCGGCTCGAAAATCGTGCCAAGTACTATGCCTGCAAACAAAAGCTCGGATGCCGCACAGCAGCACCCCTTGAAAAGTGGCAGTGAGGCCTATAGACCTTCACGAAACTTGCGCGGAACGAAAACCATAGACAAGCAGCTCCGCTGCTCCGCTCAACACAAGTTCCGGGGTATATACGCTGTTTTTACAGTGTCATAGTGTGGGATGGTTTGGGCGCTCAACTAAAAACAGCCCGGGTTGGACCGCGCGGGCGTCATGGCAAGGCCAACCAACCCAAGCCCGGGAGCCCCGCGAGTTAGTAGCCGTTCGCGCTCTCATACTTAAACAGCTTCTTCCCTGGCAGGGGAGTGTCACATTCAAGTCCTTTTTCCTTTCCGTCGCTACCCTTGGTCCGCTGGCTAGGAGGCTTGCGCGGCTTAGCCCTCACAATAGAAAGCAGCCCTACTCTTTCCGCGTGGCCGGCCATTGTGGCCGCGATCAAGTCTACGCTGGCCGGCATGAGGGCAAAACAGCGTGACACACCCCAGCCAACCCAACCAAAAGGGCTCTTCCCGACAGCGATCTGTGACGGCAGAGGCGCGCTCAAAGAAAGGGCAACCTTGAGCGTGCCAAGGTGGTTTACACTTCGCCTGGCCCAAGAGGGCCGGAAAATGCAAATGCACTTTCGACCCCCCCCCTCTCCATTCACGCCCCTGGAGAATGCATATGGGCAGTTTTAACTGCGCCACTGAACGCCTCAATAATAAGGATTCCGAACATACTGTGTGACGCCGTGTGCGTGGCTGCGTGTGACGGTGTGTGACTCTGTGGGCTGGTTGGCTGCACCAAGAATCTGAAACCTGGCGCACACCCCAGCGCGCTGGTTGATGAGTCAACACGCTGTAGCTATGACGCACAGCAGGCAACAGCGCAACAAAGCCACGGCCGTCAACATCCCAAGCGTCGCAGCCAGCAGCTAAGGCCCGGCTTTCAACTGCCAAAGCGCCGCTACCCATCCCAGGCAATGTTTGTCAAGGCGCAACAGCCAACAACCCAGGCGCAGCTGACAACAATCCAGGCACGGCTGTAACAGCTCGGCACAGCTTCCAACATCTTAGGCATGGCATGCAAAAACGCATCTTTGAAACAAATAGCCATAGCATTTTCTGGAATGCGGCGCCTAGTTGCGTCAAAACGCACACCGCACACCTGCTGCAGCCGGGAGGCTTCAATGCGTCGAATCGGTCGTGCAGCCTGAACAGCTCTGCTTCGTGCGATCGCAGGGCCGCCACGGTCTCACCTCCAATGTTTGCTGCGGGTCAAAAGCTTCAACACCTACGACGTGTTCGACAACAGTAGATCCCGCGCAATATTTTTTCGACCTTAGACAACTCGATGCACACGGTTCAAATGATTAAATGGGTGTTCTATCAGAATGGGCGCGTTTTTGAAGGAAATTGAACTCTGCATGGAAAGCAGGAAGCACGACCCATGTGCTTTGATGCGGCGATGTGCAAAAGCCTTGCCGCCCTTTCCCACACACAGCAGATCAATCCACAGTACAGCGAGTCTTGTTTGCAACTCACCATTCAGTGGCAATTCGAAGCCGAAGTGACGCAAATAAATGTCTATACCTACTTGTGAGCGAAGCCAGAGCGAAATATGTACAACGCTGTGGGCCACGATGTCCACCTCGCTCATCTCAAGGACAAGCATGCTCTCCTTCAGCAAGGTCTCAGTCGCGGAACAGCTTGCGTGCGCTGGCCAACATGATCGCAGGGGAGTAGCCCGACACACGCTTGCGGTCGAAAGCCAGCTCGGAATCCCGCTCCCGCTGGCTCACCAGCTCAATTGAATGTCTTTGGTCGTCCGCTTGTTAAGAAAACGGAGAAGCCGACCCGCGCGGTCAAAGCGCTGAACCTTTAGGAGATTGACGCCGCGGCTCCTTTGGCTGCAAACCCGAGTCTAATGCCAAGCAGGCCATAGTTGGGGGCAGCTTGCTGGTCACGGCTTGGAACTCCAAAGTTCAATCGCTTTCTAGGCAATCATGTAGAAAACACCATTGTATAAAAAGATGAGGGGCTGACTTTGCCACAAAAGGTTTCAACTGCATTTGCTGCTAAAAAAAATGAGTCCCCCTGGAAGCGTCGTCCAATTTCTTAGCAATAAAGCCTTTTCGGGTGATGAAGGACTCCTGTGATAAGAAATTCAGGGCCTGAATTTCTAGCGGTCTTTTCAGGTGATGATGGACTCCTTGGCTAAGAAAGTCAAGGCTGAATTTCTTCGCGGCCGTTTCGGGTGAAGAGGGGCTCCTTTAACTTTGCTCAGACATAGGGGCTCGCTTCTTTAACGGCCCTTTTAACTCGTGTAAGAAATTCAGGGGCTCAATTTCTTAGCAGCCTTTTCCTGTGATGAGGGCTCTATATCTTAGCGGCTTTTGTTGGTGTACTGGTATCCCACGCACCTTTGAATCCATTACGCATTGGGTCAAGCCCCAGCTCTCGCATTTCAGGGCTTGAAATTGAGCAGATGCGGCTGAAAAGGCAGCTGAGGAAACTGAGCCCCTGAATTTCTTAGCAACGGAGTCCTTCATCACCCGAAAAAAACCGCTAAGAAATTGAGCCCAAAAAACCTTACAAGGTTGACAAATTGGCTAAGAAATCCAGCCCCCCTAGCTCCTGATGGTAAACAAATAAGCCTATTTTAAACGAAAT